AGAATCGGGGCTGAAATTCGCACAGTAGCAATGGTTAACAACGCTGAGCCAATTCAAAAACATCGTCGCCTCGTTTTTGGGTCCTTTCAGGACTTCCGTTCCTACGGTTCGAAGAAGGCTAAGATTGGAGCTATCCTAGGTACGCTTTTTCGAATTCATCGGTGGTCTCCTGATGATTTTGGAAGAATGCAGGCTTTCCTTTCCATTTCGATCGGAGCTTTTACTACGAAACTATCCCCCTAAGCTGATTGATTCGGTGCTTCGGCGATTTGCTGTGAAAGTCGACTCACCGGAGGCCGTGGTGGTAACTGCCCTGGTGGCTGGTCCTGTTCCTATACTTGGGGGGCTTAGGAGGCCTTCCAAGGCTAGCCCCTAACAGGGCCTGGTGCATCCTTCTGACCGGTTTTCAGCCGAGGTGTTTTTTTCACCTTAGCGGGCCTTTTTGACGTAGGCGGGTTTGTTTGTTTGTTTGCTTGCTTCCTTCATGGCCTAAGTGCCTTTTCTTTGCCGTGTGGGTTGAGGGGTTACCAGCGCAAGGGATGGGGCATTCGGCGTTGTGGGTTCGCATTGGTTCGATTTTGAATGATCCAGGGATGCCAACTGGGTCCCTGGGCGCCCATCGTCAGCACAGACTGATGTGTTGCCTTTTGAATGAACCTGCCTTGCCTTTCTCTATCATACATCGCCTTTTGAGTCTAATGCTGGGCCTTGCAGGCTGCCCGACCTGCTGGAAATCTCCCTCCTTTTCATCTTGACGGTTTCGGACTTGCGGCATGTCCCAGTTTAGTTGCTGACCCCGATTCCGGCCTCGACCAGCTACGGTACCTTTGTCAGCCAGGCACTGGGCCCGTAGGAGTCCTGGCGGTTTGAAGGTACCATAATACGGCGAGGTGGATTCTGTATATTACCTGGATTGATGACACCTCTATCTCTCATTTTGTGACGAGTACGGCTCCCAGTGTCGGCGATAGTGCAACTTTTACAGCTGTCTCCGTACTTCGAGAGGTCGGCCTTGCGACAGGCTGCCATCGCTACGTCTGGCAGCTCTTGAAGGGTCCTACTGCAGCGCATTTGCATCCGGTGACGCTGGTCGATCCTCTGGAGCGAGTTGTGGGTTAGCCTATGTCTGTGTTGTTCTTCTGTGTGCACTGGCTTTGTATGCACGTTGTAACTGTAGTGGATCGACGTGCAACCATGGCGACTGAAGGGGCTGATCGGCCCTCTCTTCTTCAACCGCCTTCTTCTTTCAACTGTGGGCTGCACGCCCGGTTGCGATGTGGCTTTTCCTCTCGTAGACATGCGCTCTATCACCGAGAGTGTATCTTTGAGAATTGGTATTGGATAGTATATATAGATGGCAAGGCACTGGAATGGCCATCTGTTGAGAGTCAATTCGCTCGGGTATTTTCCTTCTAAGCCTCCTGATGAGTCTACTTACGGGGTAGACGAAACACGTAGAGGTGTGGCCGTTTGGTGGGTACGGTTGTGGGTGCGCAGTCGATTGGGTGAGTTGCTCAGTTGGTTGTGGAGGTGTGGCCGTTTGGTGGGTACAGTTGTGGGTGCGCAGTCGATTAAGTGAGTTGCTCAGTTGGTTGTGGTTTTCCAATCGAGGTATGGTCGTTTGATTGGAACGGTTGGGGGTAGGACCCAATCAATTGCGAAGTTCGTGCTCAGTTGATTGAGTTTTTGCAAATATGACGAACTACTTCCCGAACCCGTGCCATCTTTCGTACCCCTCCTTTTTGTATCATATCAACCCCATAAAAACCCCCTGTTTCGTTTTCTTGATTTTGGGTGTCGTGTTTTTGGCCCCCATCTTTGGACAGCCTTTACGATTCCCGGCTTCGGCTTTTCCCTTTTGCAATTCAGGAAATACTTGGGAATTGGGTYCGGCAGTTGGGATTTCCGGGATAAGTCGAACTTCGACGTGTTCTTTTTGTGTGTGAATGTTCTCGGTCGCGTCGGGGAAGACTCTCGGAATTTTGCAAGGATACGAATAGGAGTAGGACTTTCTTTTCCCGCATTGCTTTTTCGCGCGCGGATATGGTGATTTCAATTTTAAATTGGTTTAGGACGTAGGCGAGCTGTAACTGTTTCGGTGCCTTTTTCTTTTGTTCTTTTTGTTGACGGCGCCACGAATGCAAAAGCTTTCTCCTCTCTTTCCCCCGCATCGCTCTCTCCCGCGCTCCTTTTTCCTTCCCCCTCCTCCTCCTCTTTCCTCGTAACTGTTTTTCTCTCTCCCTTTCTCTCTCCCGCTCAGTTTTGTGCACGCCCATTTCCCATTTCTTGATCATCTGAATCTTGGACCCGTCTTGCGCTACTTCTCGCGCTTTTTCTTCTCTCCGAGCAAAGCTCGTGAAGTCCGGTCGATCCTACGATTACTCTCGCCCACCAATCAGACGCGGGTTACGGTAGGATCTGCCTATCCCGCGACGAGTCTGATTGGTTAATCTGGAGTTTCGAAGCATCAACATGGCTTTCGCGAAGCGCTCCTCTCAAAGTCTTCTCCTCCTGCTTCTCCTCGTACACTTCGACTTTCACCCTGCATTTTCCCTCCCTTGGCTCCCTCCTCGCTGCAATAAATTCCGCAAGCGTGCCCGCAAATCTCTCTTACAATCTCGACTCTCAAGCCAGCTTCTGGGAAGCAGTGGCTAGGCAGGGTGTTTGGTGCGAGTCGGAAAGTCCTGTCGGGTTGACGATAGGCTGGCCGATTGCGCGCTTGATTGCCACGACGAACTGTGGAATCGGGGCGAACCACGCAGAGTTTACGTCAGCGGGGTGACGATCGCAGTGGTGGGAGTTAGCATGTGACGGCCGGGATCGTCGGTGCGGGTATGAGGATCGATGATTGGAGTTGAGTGAGTGATTGGCTTGGGGCCATGTTGGAATCCACGGCGAATGCACCTTTGTTGTTGCGGATCTTTATCTCTGGTGTGAGTGTGCGGCGGCAACGCCGAACATCCTCTTTTTGGATCTCGTCCCCTTCTATCTCCCTTTCTCTCCTCTATTTTTGAATGATGAAGTGTCTCTCTCTCTCTCTCTCTCTCTCTCTCTCTCTCTC